TACCAAAAAAGTAATAATAATAAATCATGCGGATTTATACACTTTGTCCATTTACTTCCCATAAAAAAACTTGTACGTACATTTTCCCTTTTTTATTATACTAGCTGTCTTGAAAATTAATTTTCTTAATTGATATATTCAACAAAACAAATTGTCCGATTAACAAAAAATTCTGGTATACTTATATAACTAGAACAGTGATTCGATGAATAAGAAATTCTGATAGATTTTACAGAAAGGAATTAATCATATTCATCTAGTCCTATACAAGAATAATTCTAATTCGTCAATTCTCGAATAAACATAGGTATACTGATTGAATCTACCAGATTTCCAGTTAATGCAATCAGATTCCTTTCCCAGTTTAAATTTAAATTATAGCACAAACGTCCTGATACTTGAATGACATTTCTTTAAATTTTGCTGAGCTTTATCAGATACTTCATGTGTATTTTTTTTTATACTTGTCATGCCACAGTTTAAATAACTGTAAAATAGATTTAGAATTCACGCAGAAATATTATCAAACAAGATCCAGCCTCGGCTATAGAAAGCCTTTCTCTAATTTAATCGTGTGATTTATTTATACGATCTAGTTTAATTGATTATTAATTCTAAATTATATTTGTTTATACACAAGATTAATTTAATAAATTAAATTAAACAAATTATAGAAATTAATACTATTTGCAGTATCCAAATGAATTATAAATGAAATTAAACAAATTATAGAAATTAATACTATTTGCAGCATCCAAATGAATTCCAAAATTCATCGAGGCATTCACGGGAAATGACGCAACGAATCAATGAACGGACATTCTTTAGACGCAAAAGAGATGTATTTAATTATATTTGATTTATAAAAAATTCATTTAAGTATTCTACAAGAGCATTAAAAAATAATGCCAAGAAGATAAGCAAGTTCAAAATATTTACCAAAGCATTGTTGCAATGTGAGAACAGTAATTGAATTGAATTCTGTTAATTTGTTATCTGATCGATTTCTTTCATAATCCTACGAATAACCAAGGCAGGTCCATAGAACTTACAGTACATGGCAGGGGAATGGGGAACCAAATAGTGGCCACGTTCAGCAGACTAAGCAGATGAGTGAACGCTTATGGTGATTCGCTGGATCTGAGTGAATAAACCAATCGTAACAAAGAATCACTGAGCGCTCACTGATCGGGACTGTCTGCTGAACGTGGCCAGTGTCAAATGGAAGTGAGAAAGAGAATATATACTCCTCTCTCTCACTCAGTTGATTTTTGAAAATACGCAAGCGCGTCGTTTCTCGCTACAGAAATAAAAAGGTGCGCACGCAAGTCGTGCATGCGTAATTGCGAAAATCAACTTCGCAAGAGGGAGAGATATATCGGACGTGGATCTCTCTGTTCAACTTATGGGCAGTCCCCTTCCATGTACTATAAGTTCTATGGGCAGGTCACGCGGGAACCATGCAAAATACACGTGTCGAACTGTGGAGAATCGGCGTACAACCGCGAATTCGGCATTCGCGCATACCGATTCCCAGCTGTTCAACACCTCGCCATCACGATAGTCGGGTAGTAGAAAAGAGTCGATCACGAAGAAAATTACGGTATCGCTCCCGAGTCAATCTACCCGCGATAGAAAACAAAGTTAATCGCGCCTTTCGAATTTCAGAGATCTCCAATTCCTCCATTGCCTGTTCGCGTCCGCGATCGCGATTCTGGTCGCTGCATTTCGCTTTCGCGGCAAGATATCCGTCGCGCTCGGAGCAACGGTCTCCGCACAAGATTTCCGTCCGCGTCGTGCAGTTGCGTTAGGCCAAGACCAGAGTCAAGATCTCCGCTTCGTCCGCTTTTTCTTTATGTTGTATCGTGTATAAGAAAATCTAATCTCTGTATCGGAATTATAGTATGCATTGTTGATAATAAACTGTGAGTGCCAAAATTTGTGTTGATTATTCAAGAGTGCCTACGCCTCGACTGCCGATCCTTCCAAAAGGAAAATCTTTTTTTTCATAAGCTAACTAGCCAACATTCTGGTAACTATAGCCTACATCTTTGTCTGAAACTTTTTTTTCTAAGCCTTGTAATTACCATATATGTATTTGACTAAATTGAAATGGGACTCATACATTACGTAATTAAAAAAATTATATTCTCTACATTTACTACATACTCATCTTTCAACATATGAATATGCAATTTATTTTATTTTGAAAAGTACAAAGCGCAAAAAGCGCTATAATATATAATCATATATGACTATTTTAGCAATCAATAATAAATCCTGATTTTCATAACTTTCCCCGAATTTGGGGGACTATAATAATTGTTATTTTCTGTTTCTAGATAATCTCACGAACAGTTTCGAATGATTTATTTAAGTTGGATTTCTATACCAAAAAATTTTCAACATTCTTCATTCTAAAGATAAGTATATTATATTAAAAAATAAAACTATTGAAATAAAAAATTACAAAACTTATTAAATAAAATAGAAATTAGCGAAATAAAAGTTAATAAACGAGCAAACAAAGATATTGAAATATAATTATATAGGTTTTTATTCGGTATACTAAAGTAAAACGTTTCGATTTTACTAAGTTTTCTTCAGTCGCCACTACAAATTTTCAAATTATACATTCATTAGTTCTATTTGGAGAACACGCTCTATTCCCTTGACAATCCTTGGCAGTTAGATTCGATTACTGATAGGTCAACTATCACGTAGTCAGCATTCCGCTGGCAACGTCCCGTTGAAGATCATCACGCGTACAAAAATTTTAATCATAACTGTAAGGTCGTAAGCATATTAACCAATCACAGTCGAATGTTCTAAAAAAAACGTAATTTTGATTGTAATTAGTCAATTTTCTTACGGCTTTACGATTATGATAAAAGATTTTGTACATGTGATGGCCTTGATCGAGGAGGTCCACGTGATGATCGACCTATCAGTAATCGAATCTAACTGCCAAGAATTGTCAAAGGAAAAGAGCGTGTTCAAATAGGACTAATATGAATTAAGTGTAATTTGAAAATTTGTAGTTGCGGCTGAAGAAGATTTGTTAGTAAAGTCGGAACGTTCCGCTTTAGTATAACAAATAAAACTATATAATTATATTGTAATATCTTTATTTACTCGTTTGTTGATCTTTATTTCGCTAATTTTTATTTTATTCTAAAATACGAGTCGATATTCGATTTTTACTTATTAAGTACATAAGTTTAATATAAAAGCATTTAGGAACTAACGTAAAATTTTCATATTATTCTAAAATACGAGCCAATATTCAGTTTTTACTTATTAGGTAAGTTTAATATAAAAACATTTAGGAACTATTTTAAAGTTTTAATATTAATTATTAAATAATGTAATTTTAAAATCTAACTTCATAGAATTACAAATAATTAATGAATCGTTACCTTCTACGGTAACGGTAACGATAACACGTTTACACTTTTGAAAATTAATAACAAGTTTTACTTTTTACAAAACAAAAATAACGGTAACGGTAACATGCGCGTTATTTTTTATTTTAAAGTAATGTTTCCAACCAGCTGTTTATAAAATTATTGGAATTTGAACCAAATTATAAAAAGTGGCAGTGTATCCAGAAATTGATTTAAACAATGTGCTACACATGAAATTGATATCGTACTCTGAGCACTAATATTGAATATATGGCCTGTTACGTACATTGAAATTACATATTCACATTGTATACGAGGAAAGTTCGTCTCGTGACACGTGTTATAATTATGCCAAGGCTTCATTGAACTTTTCTCCATTTAACCATTTCAAACATCTGAGGGACTTTTCAGACAGATTTTTACGTAGGTAATTAACGCTTAATGTCTTATTAAATTACACATTATTAACAAATGTTTAAAACAAATACGGAATTCTGTGACAAAACATATTTAAGTTTAATAAGATATTTAAATTTTAGCATTGAAATAAAAATAATGCATGCAAATAATTAAAAAAAAATGTTTTAAAAATTAATATGTTAAATATTTAATTAAATCCAACATCCCGTTACTTGACTGATCGCTTTTGACTTTTCCAGCAATTTTATAGTTTGAACTGAGGTACATAATATTTCAAATTTCCATATTTCTTTCGTTAGATTCAGCAAATTTTTCTGCATTGATTTTCTTATCTGTTTCCAAGTTCTTCCATTCGATATTATCACCTTATCCTCTCTTCTACGCGCATTTTCGCATGTGTTTCTAGATTGTTAAGGCTTATTTTCATTTTTTATCATCTTTTATTCTTTCTACTACAAACTGATTGCATCTTGAAGTTTAAAATTTCCAAGTTAGGCATACGCTGTCAAAACCTGACATTTCTCTAAAATGACATTTTTAATCTTAAAGAATCCTAAATTGATGAGCAATTCTTGTATTTTGTAAGTTCTCAAAGGATATTATTAATATTTGCAGATAAATTCTATCTGCAGGTTTGCATAAATTATTTCTAAAAGCTTTGTGACAACGATGCAGAGGTCTAAAAAAAAGAATCCATAGAACATAACCATGTATAATATAATATGTAATATTTACGTACACGTTTTGATAAATTTTTAAGATTTTCAGGACAAAACAGGAATTATGGATTGTACATGAATGCGCGGATGGAAACTAATACATTATTAAGTATTTTGTCATATTGTGCATTTATTTAATTTCATACGTTCGTTACGTACAAAATATTGCACTCTACACCTTTGCTTTGACAATTACTACTTTCAACTAACAACGTAAACTACATAAATATTAAAAATAAGATGACTATTAATTATTTGCCAATTTTTTCATGTTTTCATTTTTATAACATATAATATAAAGTCAATAATCTAGCTTATCTAAATGTAATTATTTCAATAAAACGTAAATTATATTTTTACACAAAAATAAATATATTAATTGATTAATCTTAACAAAGACTATGTATAGATATACATATGTATACGCACTTATTTATAAAAAAATATGGAATCCTCTACAATAATTTTGTATTATTTTACGACTTTTTAATGTCCGTAATTTTTGAAATATATTTAACAAGATGACGTAATTTATTTGCTATTCCGCACTTAACGCATTTCACTTAACGCGCTAACGACAAATCGCAAAGATAATTTTCAATTGACAGATTTGCGAAAACATAAGAATGGCTTCGAGTGCGTACGCTCTTCAACGTATGAAGAATACGTAATATTTTTGGACTAGTTACTGACGTTTAGGATAGTGACCGCATTTTCTGCAGAGCTGCTTCCCCTTGTCATCGTCCTCTTCATTTCCTTTCATTGACATCCCCTTTGAAATTCGAACCGGCACCAGATCGCCTGTATAAGGTCGATGTCCAATAGCAGCTATGGTTTCACTTCTAGGGAAGCCCACATCGGCCGAAGCAATCGTTACCGTATTGTCGCCGTTATTATCTTCAGCATCGACATTGACGAACGAGCCATTGGCCACGTTATGACTCGAGCCGCTCTTCGAGACGGATGGCTCCCTCTTAATTGTTTCGGAATTATCGGAGTTCTCCCAATTTTTATAAACAACTGATTTATCTGTAAGAAGCATAAGTCTCATATTGTGCCCCTCTTTTGCTATCTGTTGAAATAACGAGAACGCACCGTTGTCAGATTCATCTATCGTATCAGCGTCGGATATTGATTCGCATAAACCGGCATCTTCGTCTTCTTTCATTAATGGTAACTCGGAAGGAGAATCCGAGAGTGGACGGCTGCAAACGTATCCCTATAAGAGACAGTATTATTTAGTTATTAGATAATAATTATTTTATATATAAAAATAAAAATTATCGGTTGATTTAAACATATACCTGAACGAGATCCATGCGAGAATCCAGTGAAAATTGCTTGCCTGACATTAATATTCCGCGAATGCGACGACGTATGGCTGAAATACACATGACAAGATTTATCGTCTTATACATATAGATTATCTTTCTAATGTACAATGTTTTAATAGCGTATTTCGAAGATTAATTAAAGTGGAGAAAATCTATACGTATATAATTATAGCAATTAACTGATGTGACAAATTGATTAGTGATTCAAAAATTTTAATTGTGTTACACAAATTATTTGACATCTTTTTTCAGTAAAAACAAATGTAATTTGATTTTATTTTACTTGAAATAAGTATATGCAAGATACGATTGACACTAATTATCACTCGATAATCTGTAAATGTCTTACAATTCGTTCTTATTGAACTCTTATAATTTTATTTTTTTACTTTTTTTTAAACTGGGGCGATGACAGTAATAATAATAATAAATAAATTTATATAAGTATTTTTTCAATTACAATAAGGTACTACATATTCTTTAAATAGACATTAAATTTAATATTAAAATCATGTAATATAATTCTGCAAATATAAACACTTACCTGGACTATCTCTCGCCTCAAGATGAATTTTCCCAAAAGTTTTCATGCATTCTTCAAATACATCGGCCGTGTCATATATGGCAGCAAAACTACCATTTACAATTTTCGGCGACATTGGTGAATTGGCTAATAATAAGCTCGATCCGAAATTTTCATTCTTCTGCCGCGTATCTGCAAGTTCAATCAAAATTAACTACATAGTTTTTATAGGAGTATTAAATATTACAAATTAATAAGAAGTCAATGTATATAAATTTAATTCTGTTACGCGAAAATTAGATGTGACTCACCTTTAAGAAGTGTAATGTGTAGGAAGTGAGCGAGCAATCATGTGTTCATATAGTAACGAAAAAAAATAAAGAACCATTGTGTATGCATAAAGTTATTTATTTTACAGCATTATCATCGTTATTACAACTCAATGAAAGCAATAAACACAAATGAATAATCAAATTTTTAAAAAATATAGAAATTACTTTAAAAAATAAAACTTAATGTAAATAAAAATTTATTTAACATTATTTAGAATATATTTTGAACATAAGTGAATATTAATTTTCAACATAAACTTTTAATAAAACTTCAAGTATTAAATAAGTAATTACAGCTTTATGTGTATGTAACAAGAAATAATTAATGTATATTGCTACATAGCGGTTTTTTAACTATATAAAAAAATAAATTCTTTTTATAAGTATTTTGCATAATTGATATTGTGTAAGTGTCTTATTAATTGATAAAAGAAATAATTATTATTGCATGTATGTGGCAAAAATGTTTGCGCTACAAGTTAAATAATATGTATAGTATAGTAGAAGTTTTGCACAGTATTGCTAACATATGTTTCATATGTGATAAAATACGATAAATTAAAATCATCTTTTTCAAATAAAAAATATTTCAAATATACAGAGTGTCCTGAAATTTGCGAATTAAAATATCATAACAAGAAAGTCTTCGAAAAATTAAGTAAACAAGTTATGTATAAAGTTTTATTTTAAGCAATAGTTTTTGAGATATAAGAGTTCAAATTTAATCAATTATAGATTACGATTAAACGGAAACTTCTAGTCAAAAAGAATTACTAGTGCAGTAAAAACACTACTGAAATGTAGTAGTGTCACTGCTATACCAG